TTCCTTCCTTCCTTCCTTCCTTCCTTCCTTCCTTCCTTCCTTCCTTCTTCCTTCCATCCATCCATCCATCCATCCATCCATCCTTCCTGTCTGTGCTCAGTTTCAATAGCACAAGAGAGGCCTTTTCTGACCAACTTACGTAAAACATCATCCTCCCTTTACTCTCCTTATTCCTCCTTATATTGTGCCTCATGTGTTTTCGTTTGTTTGGTCATCTCTTCTCTGTCTCCCCTGGAGTGTGATCCCCACAAGTGAGGGACTGTGTCTCTTTTGTTCATTGCTCTGTCCTCAGTGCCTAGAATCATCAGGTATGTGGCAGGTGTCTGGAAATATGTGTTGATTTGGTGAATGTGTCAATGGATGGGAGACCCCTGTGTCTCCATGGGTCGGGGAGATAGCTGTAGGTCATGTGCAAACCAGAGTGAATGAAGGATGTTGCAGGACATTGTTTGTCTTGTGATTAATGCCTATCCAGTTACTTTCTATTTCACTCACTTTCTTGGGGGTGCCCTTGGCATGAATGTGTGTTGGTCTGTGCACTTGACCCGTGTCCCAGAGAAACTTAGAAGCATTGTGGTTGTAACCATACTGAGTAACACCCTTTGCCTGTGGCCTTCCTGGAATCTTCCATTAGGGGGCATTTTCATTTCTGGGAAGAATACTTTTGGGACGAGAATTCTGATTCTGATTCTCAGATCCCCCAACAGAGGGAAAAAGATCTGTTTCCTATAGTGTCAGTGTCAGCCAGGTTGTAAGCTGCCTTCCTCTTGAAGATTTGCCATCTGCAGCCCATTTGCCTCTTTCAAAGCCCCCACCCACGTTACTGCCCCCTGGTTTCCCCTTCCTTGTCCTTGAGGGGGAAGATTTAAAGTGAGAGTAATAGGAGACACATACGTGAATGCTGCCTGTATATCTGGTTCAAAAATATATCGTGCTTTTTCTACAAATTTAGCCATTAAACAAATGTTAAAGAATATAGATGTCATACAGTTTTCCCTTGATTTTTAATGAAGATTGGGTGTTTTTCAACTAGTGAACATTCTAACCTAGAGAGAATCAGGAAACTTACTGTCACATCCTCAGAGGTATTTCCTGTTCCCCTCACACAGCTACTCTTTTTGTTTTGTTTTGTTTAGATTTATTTATTTGAGAGAGAGAGCATGTGTGCAGGTGTTGGGAGGGGCAGAGGGAGAGAGACAGAATCCTCAAGCAGACTCCCTGCCAAGCACGGAACCTGACGCGGGGCTCGATCTCACAACCCTAAGATCGTGACCTGAACCGAAACCAAGAACCGACTGCTCAACTGCCTGAACCAGCCAGGCACCCCACACAACTACTCTTTCCAAGGGTCAGTTTGTTAAATATAACCATGAACTACATTACCTACCAAAAAAGTACATACTCACCTACGTAATATTTTTCCAAGATTCTGTTCTTGCAACTTATCTTTCCGTTTGAACAATTTGTTTAATTAAGAACTGGGGAACTTCTAGAACCAAAGTTTTCAAGTTTTTTTGAGCATGAGCCATAGTAAGAAATGGATCTTTCATTGTAATCAGAACAAACATTTCACGTGTGAGTTCACATCTGTGACTTTCATAGGCATTTTATGTAATGACCCCTGTCCTGTTGGCTGTGGTGCTTTGATAGTTTCTGTCCTGGTTCTTTTTTCTGAAAGCTTATTACACGCTTTTAAATATTTCCAGCTCACTGGAGTATTAGAGCTTTTTAATTTGAAAAATTGTTGTGATGGGCTATTTTATCCACACATTTGTATATGTACTGTGTTTCTACACTCTTATCAGACAGACAGTCCTAAAGCTTCAGAAGGAACCAGCAATAGGCCCTTCTTTCTTTTCATCCCAGGGATTCTTGCCACCTTTGATTTTCTCTTTTATTTTTTTTTACTTGAGAGAGAGCGAGAGAGAGAGCACAGAGAGGGAGAAGCAGACCCCCGCTGAGCAGAGAGCCCGACGTGGGGCCAATCCCAGGACCCTGAGATCATGACCTGAGCCGAAAGCAGATGCCAAACCGACTGAGCCACCCAGGCGCCCCCACCTTTGATTTTCTTATTAGTATCCTGCGTCATGTACCTCTGGTTCTTGATGTCCCCTATACAGCTTTTCAGCTTCCCAGCAAAACCACAGTGTTCTGTCCCTTTTCTGTTTCAAATAACTTACTTGGAAAAGATGTTTTCCTTCTAAGACTTGGCTTAAACTCTCACCAAAATAGTCAAACTGGGATTCATTTATTCATTCATCATGCATTTGTTGACTATGCACCATGTTCCAGACATGATTCTGGACATTGGTTATAAAGTAGGAAAGTGTAAAATGTGTTCAGCCCAAAAAGTGTAACATGTTTCCCTCCTTGATGCTGCATCATGGTGGAAAAGACATGGTGAACAACAGATCACTTAGCGTGTTACATGGTGCAGGATGCTGCATGGAACATAAAAAAGGAGGGATAGGAGTCACCGGAGGTGAACTGGGTGAGGACAGGATTGATTATTTTACACTGGGCGGTAAAGGGGCTTGTTTCTGGGCTCACTTTGAGCAGAGACCTAAAAATCATTAGGAACCATCCATGCATCTGTCTGGGAAGAGTTCCTGGCAGGATTGAACGCCCACTCTAGGATTGGCTTTCAGAGCTCATACTGTAACCGTACCTTTTCCTTCTCCCAGGCTCCATTTCTGTTGTTTTCACATTTTTCCTAGAGATCTGAATTTCTGTCAGGTTTTAGAGCCATGTATATTTTCTGTTCAACTTTATTTCCCTTTTGTCCTCATGAAGGAAACTTGCCTGTAGAAACTTAAGTTCCACTCTTTGCTTTATGCTTATTTTAGTCCATGTGCTTTGGGTATTTGCTCCCAAACCCACAAGTCATTCTAGACATTCAAGATACCTCGACACTGAAGTAACTTTCCAATAAAGTGATGCAAGGCTTATGTAGTTATATAGAGGCTGTTTACCACATGTCTGCTGGATTGAAAGAGGGGGCAGCTTTTAATTGACTGTTCATACAGGTAGGGGAGTGAATTTTTCTCTTTTTTAAAGATTTTATTTATTTGATGGGGTGGGGAGAGAGAGCTCGAGAGAGCACAAGCAGGGGGAGCGGCAGGCAAAGGGAGAAGCAGGCTCCCCACCATGCAGGGAGCCAGATGTGGGGCTCGATCCCGGGACCCTGGGATCATGACCTGAGCCGAAGGCAGATGCTTAACCGACTGAGCCACCCAAGGGGCCCAAATTTTTCTTTTGTAAACATTTTTTTCAGTAGTGCTTTCAAAGACTATTTTTTTTAGAGCAGTTTTAGGTTCATAGCAAAAAAGGGACAGAGATCTCCCATATAAACCTGTCCCCATGTACCCACAGCATCTTACATCAATATCCCCTGCCAGATAAAATTGATGAACCTGTATTGACACGTTGTTATCACTGAGTCTGTACTCTACATTAGGGTTCATTCTTGGTGGTGTACATTTTATGGACTTGGACAAATGGATAAAGCCATGTACACACTATTATTATATCACATAGAGTAGTTACACTTCCCTAAAAATCCTGTTCTCCACCTCTTCATCCCTCCCCTCTAACCCTTGGCAACAACTGATCTTTTTACTCCATCCATACTTTAGCCTTTTCAAGAATGTTGTACAGTTGGAATTGTACTTTTCAGTGTGGCTTCTCTCACTTAGTAATATGCATTACATTTTCTCCATATCTTTTCATGCCTTAATATCTCACTTCTTTTTAGCAACAAATAATGTCCCATTGTGTGGATGTACCACAGTTAATATGTATCTGTTCACCTCCTGGAGGACACCTTGGTTCCTTCCAAGTTTTGTCCTTTTGAATAAACCTGCTATAAAAATCTGTGTATAGTTTTTTGTGTGGGCTTAAAATTTCAACTCCTGTTGGTTAATACCAGATTGTACAATAGCAGGAAGGTATGGTAAGAGTATGTTTAGTTTTGTAAGAAACCACCAAACCTGGGGTACTTGGGTGGCTCAGTTGGTTAAGTGTCTGCCTTCGGCTCAGGCTGTGATCTTGGAGTCCTGGGATCGAGCCCTGCATTGGGCTCCCTGCTCAGCAGGGAGTCTGCTTCTCCCTCTGCCCCTCCCCCTGCTTGTGTTCACTCTCTCTCAAATAAATAAAATCTTAAAAAAAGGAAGAAAGGAAGAAACTGCCAAACTCTTCAAAAGTGGCTGTACCATTTTGCATTCCCACCAGCAATGAATGACATTTCTGGTTGCTCCACATCTTGGCAGCATTTGATGGTGTTGGTGTTCTGGATTTTGGCCATTCTAGTATGTGTGTAGGGTATCTCGGTGTTTGGATTTGCATTTCCCTGATTACGTAAGATGTGGAGCATCTTTTCATACACTTATTGGCCCTTTGTATATTTTCTTCAGTAGGGTATATGTTAAGGTCTTTGGTTCATTTTTAAACCGGGTTCTTTTTTTTCTTATTGTTCAGTTTTAAGAAAAGTACTTCTTAAGCTAATTGAAAAGTTTATTGAAAAAATAATCTCCAAATGTTCAGATAACCTATTTATAAATATAGAGACTTGGGAATACCAATGAGATAATTTAGAAAACACATTTCTGAACTTAAATTATTAGAAGTGGTCAAAAATTTGTAATAGTAGCCAACTCATTTAATGTCTGTCAAAACAAAGATAAGATTAGGTAAACGTGCAGAATTTCCAGGAATACTTTGAATATATAAATATAAATATTTCAGGGTATTGGATATTAGGATATATAACATGAACCCAAAATTTGATTATGTTATTGCTTTTCTTGAAGTTCTAGTCAATTCATATTTTATTATATAATGTTTCTTTTTTTATATATATATATTTTTATTTTTAAAAATTTATTGTTATGTTAATCACCATACATTACATCATTAGTTCTTGATGTAGTGTTCCATGATTCATTGTTTGTGCATTACACCCAGTGCTCCACGCAGAACGTGCCCTCCTTAATACCCATCACCAGGCTAACCCATCCCCCCACCCCCCCTCCCCTCTAGAACCCTCAGTTTGTTTTTCAGAGTCCATCATCTCTCATGGTTTGTCTCCCCCTCCAACTTACTCCCCTTCATTCTTCCCCTCCTGCTATCTTCTTTTTCTTTTTTCTTAACATATCTTGCATTATTTGTTTCAGAAGTACAGATCTGTGATTCAACCGTCTTGCACAATTCACAGCGCTCACCATAGCACATACCGTACCCAATGTCTATCACCCAGCCACCCCATCCCTCCCACCCCCCACCACTCAGCAACACTCAGTTTGTTTCCTGAGATTAAGAATTCCTCATATCAGTGAGGTCATATGATACATGTTTTTCTCTGATTGACTTATTTCACTCAGCATAACACCCTCCAGTTCCATCCACGTTGTTGCAAATGGCAAGATCTCATTCCTTTTGGTGGCTGCATAATATTCCATTGTGTATATATACCACAGCTTCTTTGTCCATTCATCTGTCGATGGACATGTTGGCTCTTTCCACAGTTTGGCTATTGTGGACTTATATAACGTTTCTGTCTCCATAATTTATTAACTATATAATTTGCTATTCAAATTCTACACTGACTTCCAAATTCAGTGGAAATGGCCATAGGTTAACATTTGAATTATATTATCAATTTTTGAATTAAGTCTTTGGCATTTAACTTGTACCTCTCTTAGGAGACTTGGTGTGGGGGGTGCGTGGGTGGCTCAGTCAGTTAAGTGGTTGCCTTCGGTTCAGGTCATGATCCCAGGGTCCTGGGATTGAGCCCTGCATCGGGCTCCCTGCTCAACAGGGAGCCTGCTTCTCCCTCTGCCTCTGCCCTTCCTCCCCGTTTGTTCTCTCTCTCTCTAATAAATAAATAAAATCTTAAAAAAAAAAGGAGACTTGGTGTGTACTTGCATAGTGGATAGGAGCCCACTGGACCCCCTCTTGGATTCCACACATGTGTAAACCAGAGAATAAGATACACAATGGAAAAGACCTACCCAATATTCTCTGGATTCATTAAAGTCTCATGCTGTCTCCTAAATGTGAAACCTTGAGAACACTGAACAAAGTCTTCAGTTGTCCACATCTCTGCATTCTGTCTTTACAGGAGGAAAGATCCAAAGTAAGATGAAGACTATTATAGAAGCAGAACCACCTGAAGAGCTTTCCTGCTGGCGGATCTGGCAACAGATTGCAAGTGACTTAACCAGGTGTCAGGGCTCCATGATAAAGAGTTCTCAGCTCCCCACACAAGGTGATTCACCTGGACAGGTTGGAGCAGGACAGTCTGTAACTCACACAGGCCAGAAACCTGATCAGTCTAGTGAATTTAAGAAATATTTCAGTGATGTCTCCAGCCTTGATCTTCATCAACAAACACACTCAGGAGTGAAGTCTCATACATGTCGTGAGTGTGGAAAAAGCTTCTGTTACAGCTCAGCACTTCATATTCATCAGAGAGTTCATCTGGGAGAGAAACGCTACAAGTGTGATGAGTGTGGTAAGGAATTCAGCCAGAGCTCATGTCTGCAAACTCATCAGAAAGTTCACACTGTGGAGAAGCCATTCAAATGTGAGAAGTGTGGGAATGGCTTCTGTCGTAGATCAGCACTTAATGTTCATTATAAATTGCACATGGAAGAGAAACCTTATAATTGTGAGCAGTGTGGAAGGGCGTTCATTCATGCTTCACATCTTCAGGAACATCAGAGAATCCACACTGGGGAGAAACCCTTCAAATGTGATAAATGTGGCAAGAGTTTCCGACGTAGATCATCACTTAATAGTCATTGTATGGTCCACACAGGAGAAAAACTGTACAAATGTGAGGAGTGCGGGAAGTGTTTCTTTTGTAGCTCAAATCTTCATATCCATCAGAAGGGCCACACACGAGAGAAACCTTATAAATGTGAGGAGTGTGGGAAGGGCTTCATTCAGCCTTCACATTTTCGGGCCCATCAGAGAATCCATACTGGAGAGAAACCATATGTATGCAAAGTGTGTGGTAAAGGCTTTACTATGAGTTCAAATCTTCAGGCACATCAGAGAGTCCACACAGGAGAGAAGCCATACAAATGCGATGAGTGTGGGAAGAACTTTGGTACAAAAACCCGTTATCAAGTTCATCTGGTAGTCCACACGGGAGAGAGACCCTATAAATGTGAGGTATGTGGGAAGGACTTCAGTCAGAGAGCATATCTTCAGTCCCATCTGAAGACCCACAGCATAGAGAAACCTTACAAGTGTGAGGAGTGCGGGCAGGGCTTCAATCAGAGTTCCCGACTTCAGATTCACCAGCTGATCCATACTGGTGAGAAACCACACAAATGTGAAGAGTGTGGGAAGGGATTCAATCGTAGAGCAGATCTCAAAATTCATTGTAGAATCCACACAGGAGAGAAACCATTTAATTGTGAGGAATGTGGCAAAGTATTCAGGCAGGCCGCAAATCTTCTGGCCCATCAGAGAATCCATAGTGGAGAGAAACCATTCAAATGTGAGGAGTGTGGGAAGAGTTTTGGTCGCAGTTCACACCTTCAAGCCCATCAGAAAGTCCACACGGGAGAAAAGCCATACAAATGTGAGGAGTGTGGGAAGGGCTTCAAATGGAGCTTGAATCTTGACATGCATCAGAGGGTCCACACAGGAGAGAAACCCTACAAGTGTGGGGAGTGTGGTAAGCACTTCAGTCAGGCCTCAAGTCTGAAGGTTCATCAGAGTGTGCACAGTGAAGAGAAACCGTACAAATGTGATGTGTGTGGCAAGGTCTTCCGCCACTCTTCGCAGCTGCAGTCTCATCAGCGGGTTCACACAGGGGAGACACCTTACAAGTGTGAGACGTGTGGTCAGAGCTTCCGTTGGCGATCAAAACTTTCACATCACCGCAAAACTCATGGTGGCAATACATTTTATGAAAGTAAGAAGAGTGGTAAGAACATCAAAGAATCATCAGAGAGAAGTTCTCCAAAATGATGCTTATTAATAAAACCCTGAATTCTTATCATCATTGAGTCTCATAAGAGAGAAAATACTTGTGTTAGTTGGTATTTAAGCAATAATTGAACATAGCTCAGTTTTCACAAGATCACACAGTTGAGAAACCTTGTAAGTGATGTGGTAAGTCTTTGTTCAGAATCACTTAGGAGGTAGTAGTACTTAGGAAAAGAGTTTGGTCTGGCCTTTAACACAAGTATAATGATGGGTATACTAGAATTGATACCCACTAGAATGTAAGCTCCATGAGGGCTGGGACTTTGCTGCTAAATCTATACAGCCCTCAAAGCTGGAGGCATCATAATTCTGGACTTCAAGTTATATTACAAAACTGTAGTAAACAAAATTGTATGGTACTGGCACAAAAACAAGACACATAGGTCAATAAAACAGAATAGAAAACCCAGAAATGAACCCATAATTATGTGGCCAGTTAATCTACAACAAAGCAGGGAAGACTATCCAATGGGAAAAAGAGGTGTTTTTTTTTTTTCAACAAATGGTGTTGGAAAAACTGGACAGCCACATGCAAAAGAATGAAATTGGACTACTTTCTTACACCATACACAAAAATAAATTCAAAATGGATGAAAGACCTAAGTGTGAGACCTGAGACCATAAAAGTCCTTGAAGAAAGCACAGGGAGTAATTTCTCTGACATCAGCTGTAGCAACTTGTTTCTAGATCAGTCTTCTGAGGCAAGAGAAACAAAAGCAAAAATAAATTATTGGGACTACATCAAAATAAAAAGCTTCTGTATAGCAAAGGAAACAAAACTAAAAGGCAGCCTACTGAATGGGAGAAGGTATTTGCCAATGACATATTCGATAAGGAGGTAATGTCCAAAATATATAAAGAACTTATAAAACTCAACACCCAAAAAGTGAATAATCCAATTAAAAAATAGGCACAAGACTTAAATAGATATTTCTCCCAGAAGAAATCCAGGTGGCAAGAAACACATGAAAAGATGCTCAACATCACTTATTGTCAGGGAAATGCAAATCAAAATTACAATGAGTTAGCACTTCATTCCTGTCAGAATAGCTAAAATCAACAAGACAAGAAACAACAGGTTTTGGCAAGATGTGGAGAAAGGGGAACCCTCCTGCACTGTTGATGGTAACGTAAACTGGTGCAGCTACTGTGGAAAACAGTATGGAGGTTCCTCAGAAAGTTAAAAATAGAATACCCTAGGATCTAGCAATTGTACTACTAGGTATTTGCCCAAAGAATACAAAAATACTAATACAAAGGGATACATGCACCCTAGTGTTTATAGCAGCATTACTTACAATAGCGAAACCACGGAAATAGCCTGTTTCCATCAGTTGATGAATGGATAAAGAAGATGTGTATGTATACAATGGAATATTATTCAGGCATAGAAAAGAAAAATCTTGCCATTTACAACAACATAGGTGGAGCCAGAGATTGTTATGCTGAGTGAAATAAGTCAAAGACAGATACCATATGATTTCACTCATGTGGAATTTAAGAAACAAAACAAATGAACAAAGGGAGAAAAAGAGAGGCAAACCAAGAAACAGACTCTTAAATATAGAGAACAAACTGATGGTTACCAGAGGGGAGGTGGTTGGGGGGATGGGTTACACAGGTAATGGGGATTAAGGAGTGCACTTCGGATGAGCGCTGGGTGATATATGGGATTGTTGAATTACTATATTGTACACCTGAAACTAATACACTGTATGTTCACTAACTGGAATTTAAATAAAAGTTTAAAAAAAATCTACACAACCTTAACATTGACTAGCACTTGTAGGTGTGCTTACTACGTGATGTTAAATAAACAGGAAAATTGTGTCCAGAGGAGGAAACCTGCAAAATAAAATTAATTCAGGGAAATGGACATTTGTTGAAATGTAGAAAATCACCTGATACTACAATCCACACATTAATGTTATTACTGTATTACAATTGGTTCCTTTCCTCCCACAGCCTCTGTTCTCAATTTGGGTTCTTATCTGGCCCCTGTCCAGTTTTTCCAAGGATTGTATACATTGAACTGTCTTTTGTAATTTTTCTGACAGTACAGACTGAAAAAGTTTTTTTTTTTAACTTAGCAAGGACTTAACTGCATTTCACACAACTAATCTTTTTTTATCTATCGATGTTAAGGCAGGTATTTACTATAACACTTTGAAAGTGTCACCAGTAGTTAACCAATATCAATTTAATCAACCTTGAATTGGTGATTTCTAATTGCATTTCCATCCCAACTCGTAATGTTTGCCTTCTAATTACTGTAGTATTTCTTTTATCAGAACTTCTCACATAGAGTCTATACTTTATTCCCCACACCCATGAAAGGAATATGCCCCAAGTTTGTGAGAATTTGATAATTTTATCAGATGTATTTCTGAGGTGAGATTGATATTTATATGCTTTTCCCTATTGGCAGCACTGAAGCATGGTTCTGGGAAAGGAGTATATGTCAATATAGATTGTACATTCTTTGATCTGGGAATCATATTTGGAAGTTAAGATTATGAGATTAAAATACTAAAAAGATGAGCACTGTATTGATGTCACTGAGTTTTTATAAATGGGATAAGTGCACATACGTAGGAATTTGAGTTTTGGTATATTCCTATATTGAAGCCATTAAGATTATGGCAGATATCTGTAATGAGAGAAATACATAGTATGGGCTTTGAAAAATCAGATTGTAGCCTTCATAGCATAATCCACCATAGATCCTTGTGTGTTTCTGTGTGCATGCACGTGTATATGTGTACGTGTATAAGATAACATAAAGGGATGCTCTTCCATAGTGCTTTTCCTTGGCAAGGAGCATTTTGTGGTCTTTTCCCATTTTTAAATTCCTCTCTCCTCCACCCCTGATATTTTTCCATTTAAGTTATGTTTTAGTTTTTCATTGAATATGGAATATTACCAAAGCAGTAAATTACTGTAATAGATTTATCAAAGTACCAAATAATTGTCCCTTGACGTTAAGCCATTATGAGTGTTCTATATTGTCATATGGCGTATAAGATCAAAATTAAGGAATGGGTTCTGGAAGCCAATTTCAAAGCCAAGAACTTCTCTGATTGTTTTACATACAGAGAAGTTGAGTTTTAACAATTGTATCTTTGTAATTAATGCATGCTGTGCTTGAAGTATAAATCCATAACAGCGAGAGGGCAAATCCTGGAGCTAGAAGCAAAATGAGTATACATACATCATGGAGGCATTAAAAAAAAAAAGATTCCTTTTTGAAAAGGTGTGCATGAAGAAAGAAAAAATAATAGCAGTTGACCCTGTGGATATGGAACCAATAAAGATGGAGAGCAGGTTTGGATGCCAGTCCACAGTCAGACACAATGGTGATTTTTCATTGTAGTTAATTAAAGAGCTTTAAACTCACCAAATTATATCTAGTTGAGACAGGTTCCCACAATTGATTTTCTGGACCACATATTCATAGGATGTTAGTAGGTATTCACTAAGGCTTGTGTTGTATCAATTGGTGTGGTATGTTGGGGGTTCCTAAGGCTACTTCCATGTTCTTTCATTCTCTATGAATACTCACAAGACACTAGGAGTACTCACAACTGATTTTTTACACTGAAAGGATAAAAGTAAAATGAGAAAAGAGGGAAGGTACAAAGGATGAAGTCTGGAGGAAATCAGGTTTTAGCTTCCAAGAGTTCGCTCTTTATGGAATCACAATGTACTAAGTTCCTTGAGCACTAAATTGTGATAACGTGTAACTGTCACTAGAGAGATGCATCAGAGACTTGGTGCCTTAGATTTTTTTACTGGGGGCTGGTCACTTAGGCATTCTCTGCCTGGCATGTACCAAAATTAAAGACTCTCAGAAGGAAAATAGATATTCAACATAAACCATGTTGCACAAAGAGTTTAGGCAATGTGAGATACTCTTAGGGAATGTTAGGAATCCTCCGGCGCAATCCAAGTACGCAGATACTGATCAAGAGCCAGGCTAGCAAGAAGGCCTCTTTACAGGTAGCACTCAGCTCTATGTTAAACTTTTCTGCACACATGATGTCAGAAACCAGTGCCTTCATTTTGGTTTGGTTTGGTTTTTGTCATTTTGCTGTCATAAGATACCATAATAGGTTATCAGGGAATTTGTAACAGAAAACTCAGTAGATGAAAAAAAATGATTTGTCATCCTCAACCCATAAGACAGCAGGTATGGCTTATTGGTTTAAAGTTACTGAGAAACAGGATGGATACTACACAGCTGAAAATTTCTCTCCATAAAGTATTATTAATTATAAAAGGAAATAGAGTAAGTATATCATGGAGAAATCTGGTGAATAATCTCTTAGCCAAGATGTTCATATCATTGATAATAGAACAAACCAACATTTTAAGTCCCCTGATATGATGTTGCTTCACTATTATTACTGCCAAAAAAAAAATACACAATCAAATCTAATCATGAGGGAATATCAGATAAACCCAAATTGACAAGACAGTTTCCTGCTTCACAATTACCTGACTGCAGGGAGCATAATTGATGAAAGGCTCCCACTGCTGTGTGCTAAAATCCACCACCACATTTGCATGGAGGTGTCTTACCATGATTGCTCCCAGTCAACACAATAAAAATCCTAAGATGGGCCATTCTTGGAGGCTGGGACTTCTGGCTATCCAATGACTTTTTTTCAGGGACTCCCTGACAGCTTTGAAGAACTTTACTTAGGTTACAAGGCAGTCTCCCAATATTTATAGCAGCAACGTCCACAATAACCAAACTATGGAAAGAGCTGTTGACAGATGAATGAATAAAGAAGAGGTGGTATATATATATACACACACGTGTGTGTGTGTGTGTGTGTGGAATATTACTCAGCCATCAAAAAGAATGAAATCTTGCCATTTACAACCACGTGGATGGAACTAGAGGGTATTATGCTAAGTGAAATAAGTTAGTCAGAGAAAGACAAATACCATATGATTTCACTCATATGTGGAATTTAAGAAACAAAACAGATGAACATAGGGGAAGGGAAAGAAAAATAAAATGAGATGAAATCAGAGAGGGAGACAAACCATAAGAGACTCTTAAATCTAGGGAACAAACTGAGTGTTGCTGGAAGGGAGTTGGGTGGGGTGATGGGGTAACTGGATGATGGGCATTAAGGAGGGCACTTGATGTAATGAGCACTGGGTGTTATATGCAACTGATGAATCATTAAATTCTACCCCTGAAACTAATGAAAACTATGAATGTGCAAACAAAAAAAAATTACAAGGCAGTCTAGTATGATCACCAAATCTTTCTTCCAAAATTCCTTCACTCAGGGTCACACTTGTACCATGATCTGATGGTTCTGACAGCCCCCTTCCCAGGTTCCCTTTCATTTTCTCTCATAGATATTAGCCCTAATAAAATATTTGTGTTTTTTTAAAAAACGATTTTATTTTTTTTTGAGTGTGCACATGAGCTGTGTGTGTCGGGGGGTGGGGGCGGAGCGCAGAGGGTGAAGCAGACTCCTTGCCGAGCAGGGAGA